AGCTTCGGGTCTTCTGTCCCGTTGTCCTCTTTCATGAACCAATTTTCCGACAAAATGAATATGGTCATGATTACGTTCCTCATATATGTCCAGCGGACGAAGACCATAATGAAATGATCAAAAACAATAAAAAACGTGTGGATGATATGTTGAATAAAAATAGTCAACATTGGCGAATTGTATTTGAAGATTGCAGAGGTAAATATGCTTAATTTTACGATAATACGTAATAATCATAATAATAATAATAATTATCATTATTATTATTATTATTATTATTATTATATTAATCCTGTAATTTTGCAATTTTACAATTATATAATCTATTAATTCTGTAATTCTGTAATTTTTTAGCTTATGAAAAAAACAAAATTCTCGATCGCGACTCGATGATGGATACTACACAATCACTACCGCTACCAACATCAATGCTTTCAAATTCTATTTATACCCATCATCACCTTATTCCTCATGACCATCAAACTGTGGATGGGACTCTTATCAAACCACCAAAAAGACGGCGTGGAAACTTACCAAAATCTACGACAGCCTTATTAAAAAACTGGCTAGCCCAACACAAAAAGCATCCGTATCCTACCGAAGAAGAGAAGTCAGCCCTCGCTAAAGAAACAAGATTAAGTCTTCAACAGATTTCAAACTGGTTCATTAATGCTAGACGAAGACATTTACCTCATCTACTTGAATCCGACTTTGTCAACGGCAATTCAATGAATTCTAGGAGTTCTAATGATCTTGATATCTATCCCTACGAGACCTCCGAAAATTCTATTGGTATTTATTTTTTTATCTGTTGCCTATTTGTTTTATTCTTTTTTATAATTTTTTTTTTCTCTTTTATTAGAAGATAGCGCTTCGGATAACGGCAGATTCATGAGGCGTCATACTATGAAAACATGTAGAATCCAAAAAACCGGGGCTATAAAAAAGCCTTATAGGAGAAAGCCTTCTCTGTAAATGATCATATTCTCTCTCTTCTCATTCCCTCAATCTTATGTGTTGGAATAATTCTTTAACACGAACTTTTTTCGAAGTTTTATGCTTACGTTTTATTTTTTTCTTTTCTCGCTTCCCACTTTGTATATCGTTAACTAAGCTTTTAAATTCTTATTCTTGTGCAGCATAATCGTTTAAAAACCATGCATGGATCCACTTTTAATTTTTTTTTCACTGTTTGTTTTCGCCTCTCTTTCAATGCTGCATTGTTCGGGTGAAATTTTACATTTAATTTTAAGGGAATTATAAACTTCATCCAGCCGGTGATTTTTTTTTTGAACATATGTTTCTTTTCTTTTATTAATTCCCATCCTGAGCACAAAAGTGCTCAATTATATATACTTCATTATTTCTTTTTACATATGAATGAAAATATTATGATGATTTTTTTTTATCGGTGGTTTTTTTTTAAATACACGGTACTGAAAACTGGTTGGCTCTTATATGTGTAAATTTATACGGATATGTGTTAGTTAATTGTTTTATATTGTTAATATTCCTTTTCTTAATTTCGGTCGTTATCCTGGTCGAATTATGTATATTTTTTCTATTTTTTTTCTTTGTCAAATATTTTCTCTCTCTTCTCTTGATAGTTTTTATTTTATTTTTGTTTGTTTTTTTTTCTCAGAGTAAAAAAAAACAGACAAGTCACTCTAATATTACTTATTACAAAAAAAAAAAAAAAAAAAAAAAAGATAATAATCTAACATGCTATACCCAAGATCACCCCCTATTATAACATGCAAGTTTCTTTACCGGTAGAGATTTTTATAAATAATATATAAACGAAAGATATATATATATATATATTTTTTTCACCCGAACCTGTTTTATTGTAATACTTCCCATTATATATATACTAATATATGAAGATTTACAATAATCGCCCGTAACGTCCTATCATATTTCTTTGTATACATAACTTTATACATATATATACACATTCAAAAAGTTATAGTTTTTTTTTTTCATTCTATCGTTATATAAATTTATTTATCAATTAAATCCACACCACATATTATTACAATTTTACATTTCTGATTGATTCGATTATAAATAAATTTCGTAATTTTTTCTTGTACAATTTTTCATTTATTTTTTTTGTTATCTATATACCGTGTATAAGTACTTACGTATTCGTATACGTATGTATGTACATATGTATATATATATTGGTTTTTTTTTGTTTTTTTAATTAATCTACATATAAAATCTATAAATTCTGTAAAATGAATAAGTTAAAAAAAAATAAATACTTTTTCTTTTGAAATGAATTCGGATTTTTTTTGTCTGTTGATTCAGTTTATATTCTTTTGATAATTATTTTTTTTTTTTTTGAAATTTAAATAATATTAAATAATTTACGTACTACTTTTTAAATTTTTATAATGAAGCACGTTTTTTTTTTGTTTTTATTTATTACGATATTTGTATTATCGTTATAGTGTTTCATTGCTGCGTAGAAGTATCAATCACACAATTCGTCATACGTATTTAAATTTTATTTACGTATATACTGTAGTTATAACAACAAATAAACATATATACCTTAATATACGTAGATTACATTTTTGATTTTTGTAGACATTATTATCTTAGTTATATTATTATAAATTTTTAGTTATCAACCTAGTAATTATATGGGCTAGGTGCTAAGAAAAGAGCCCAAATTAACAAAAAAAAAAGATCAATTTTTATGTTATAAATCTTATAATAAGTCATAAGAAATATAAACTTTAAAGAGCTATACTGCAAAATTTTTTATTTATTTTGAATTTGCTGTATATATGATAAGTTACATATTTGTATCAAGATGATAATAAATTTTAACTATCTATTGTATTTTGTATAACCATCTAAGTGTAGCAAATCACTTCTTAATTTTCTATTATAAACTAATTTAAGTCTAGCTACTATTAGTTATAGAAGAAGCAAAATTTTTTAATACAACTATTTTTGTGCTTTAAGTAAAAAAATAATTCTAATCTTATTTTAAATTGATTTGGTTAAACAAAAATTCTTTTAAAAATTGTTAATTTGGTCTCTTTTTTTAGCACCTAGCTCATATTGTCATGAGAAAAATTATAGACATCATTTGCAAAATATATATATCTTCTAAAATTCTTTAAAGTTTATTAGTTAGAATAGCATTTAGTTAGATTAGAGATAAAGAAATATATATAAATTTGTTCAAAGAAATCTTTTTATTAAAATATAAAAGAAGGTTTCTTATATATTTTATTTTAAACTATTTTTTTTTTTTTATAATTTGGCAGTTCTGCCACTTTTTATTTGCAGATTAAACTATACTAAGAAATTTACATTTCCTAATATTAGCTATACTAATCCACCTGTAAAGTGATATACCCACACTTTCACCAAATATGACTTGCCTTAATAGACTTCAAGCCTTTCTCCGGGCCTCTAACTTATTAGAGATTATCTTTTAGTCATAGGCTGGTGCTATATATCATATCAAAGTTAGCTTTCTTTTTTACAAATAAAGTATAAACACAAATATAAAGGGCATAACAAAAATGAAGAAATACTATAGCATCGAGTTCTGGTTCACCTAAATCAATAAAATTAAATAAAACAAATAATGAAAAAAAAGAAAAAAAGAAAACAAAGATAGTACTATTAAATTTGTATTAGACTGTAAAAATTATATAGTATTATAAATAAACTAAACTAAACTCTATACTAGTTATTTATATCTATATCCAGGATATAAAAATATTAAAAACCATCTAGTCTTAAAGTAGAGCTCCAAGTGTCAAAACTTCTGTATGCTATTCCAAGCCTGTCAGCAAACCTTCTGCAATATTTCAACCTGTATTATCCTAGACAAAGTTAACAAGTTGTTGTCCATTGACCTATATTGTCAAATCGGTCACTTTTAGTATAACCACCACAACTTCTTGAAAAAAAAATATCTTATACTATAATCTAAAGCATATATGAACATGTGTATGTGTATTTTTTTTTTAGTAGTGATTGTTGTTTTCGATTCTTTGATGAGGATATGCCATTTTTTACACTTTTTGAAGAAATTTCATAAAGATCAAGAAAATAGAGTATGAAAGAGGTTTCAGTTTGCAGGTAGCCTTAAACTTCGATAAGGAATGTATTGAAAACTCGCTTGTTGTTCTCTTTAGACCAACTATCTTTAACTTCGTCAGCAGAAGCAGAGCTTCTATTAAAATTTTTTATACAAAGGCACCACCTTTTTGCCAGTTATCTTGTACAGAAATGCTTTTAACTTGCATACTGAATATATAAAAGAGTCTAGAAGATTAGAGAAAATCTTGACCTCTGTAAAAACCATTATTTATAGTTATCTCTTTTACTTTTCTCCAACAAGTTTCTGTTTTTGTTAGCTATATAAGTTTGGTACAAGTAATTATCGAAGAGAGTTGTTTAAACTATTATTTTTTTTGTAAGTTTTTAATTATATTATATTATATTAATTTGTGATTTGGAGGTGGGTGTGGCAACTTAGAGTAGTAGTTAAGTTGTCATCCCCAAGTGGCAGGTCTAGAGTTCGAATCCCACTGGAGATGTTTTTAGAAAAATAGGCCTGTGTTCTGGTAATAATTATTCAACGATCGGTTAGGTATATTACCTGTAATCTTGGTACTACTATCTCAAAATAGAAGCTCTTGGGCGATCCAAATACAAGGAACTGGAATAATTGAAACCTGTTTGGCAAGATCTGAGTAAGGAAATCTTTAATAATACTGCAGAAAAGTCAGAAACCAAAGACTGAAGAACCAGACAAAAACTCTGAAATAAGAAGGGTCAACCAACCTGGCCGCCGGAGTCACACTAGAGGAAAAGGTCCTATACTATAGAATTAGAAACCAAGGGAAGTAAAAACCAGAAGGCACTTAAAGCCTAGATACAATGACATGTTCAGGCTAACTAATTTGGTAGTTGGGAGAGATCAGTATAAGGATTAGCTTGATGTAGGTATCGAGATTGGAACGAACCTTGCAAGAGCACCAGATACTGGAATTGTGCAATTTAATGGTTCGCCCTGACTGCTAGTAGTGGTTTTGGCTGCTGCAAAAGGTATTCATAGTCTAATCTAGAAGTGCGTAAAATATAGAAAGATTAGGGGGTATATACTACACCCTCCCTAGGGCAACCTGATAGTATAAAAACCCTACTGAGTTATCTATAGAATTAGGGTATAAGTAGTATAGCAGATATCGATCTGGGTGGTCTTCAATAAGAAGCAACACGAGGTTATGGATTGGTGTGATTGTGATAGTAGTGTAGGACCGGGAACGTTAGAGGGTTTAAATAGGTAATCTCCTAGTTAGGTTACAGGTATAGCATATAGTATAGAACCTTCAGGCAGACTACTTAAATTAGACGACCAAAGTTGCACATGTAGCTATATATATTCTCACTAACCAAGAATATACTACTAAAATATCTAATAAAAATCTACCCTTCTACAACATTGTGAAGATATAAAAAAACAAAAAAAAACTTGTGATTTGCTATTAGTTGACAAATACAAGATATATATTATTTATTTAAGGGTATAGCGATTTAGTGAAGTAGTTAAATTGTCGCACCCTCAAGTGATATGTTGGTAGGTTGGGATTCAATAACTACTAACAATAGAAATTTAAAAATTTATTTGTACAATAGCAACTATCTTTTGATAATCAGTTAGAGTAACCTTGGTAGCATCAATAAGATCAGAAGATTATAAAGCATTTGTACAATATATAAGTTATACAAAGGTATGCAAGCTAGTATTAGTCGATGCAAACTCATGATAAAACCTCATGTTTATATAAATCTAGAGAACCAGAAAGATAGACACCTATTTGGAAAGATCTGAATAAAAAAGTAGCACAAACCTTTGATAGTGACTACTGGAACAGGCTTTATCTGAGGCTGATATAACTGGATGAAAACTAAGTATTTGGAAGAAAGGTACTTCAATAATCAGACTACTGAAATCGGCAGAAAAAAAGAATCTGCAATGCAGATATCAAAAGACTGGTATTCTGTCCAAGCTATCTGGATTGGTAGTCTAAAGAGACCAGCTAGAGTGTACTGAAATGAGAAGATATTAGGCTGTCTTAAAGAGGAGGTACTGGATTGTTTTAAAGGAGAGGTAGGGATAGGCAATTATATTATACCGTATAATAAAAATGGTATAATAACTGTATAATTTTTTTTGTATAATTTTTTTTTTATTAATATAATGCCATAGTAGAAACTTTATTACAAATAGAAAAATAATTCTAAACCTAAAGAT